GTTTTATCGCGGCCGCGCGCCCCGGTGGGCCCCCTTTTTTGTTAATTTTTTGGGGCCCCCCCCCCCCCCCCCCCCTTCTCTCCTCTCTTCCTGTGGCCAAGTCTCTACCTCTCTTGTTGATCCCACCTCTATCTTCCCTGTCTTCATTTTTTTTTAGGAACGAAGATCGAGCCGGAGTTGTGTTGCAGGTTCTACAAGAGCTTGAGGCGGCGGAGGTAAACGTCGGCAGGCTTAACGTTGGCCGCCAAGAGGTGAGTGCTCAGTGATTTCTGTCACCTGTTGTAATTAAAATCAAAGCTCGTTTCACAGCACACGCTTTGTGATTTGTTGCCGTCCAGTGGTGGTCAGCAGCGTGCGGGGTACATGTGACGGCCCGGTGAGGTGCATGTAGGTTTTGCGTGGCACAAATTGCGTGTTGAAAAGACTGTTGCGTGGAAACTCGCCTCTCCCCGTACTCGGGATTTATTTTATGTTGGATACCCGCACCTTTGGGTTTGAGCGTGCACCATGCGGGCTCTTCTTTCGGGTCGAGCACTCGCCAAACGCATCCTGATTAATCTCACGACAGAGAGGTAAACGCAAGCATATGCTTGCTTCACGTTGGCCGCCTTGCCCGCAGCAATTGTAGACTTTGCAACCGGGCGAGTATGCATAGGAATATTGATTTTGTCCATTGCTGGACCCTCCTCCGCTCTCGTCCCGCCGTGCGTTCAGGGCGAGTTGGCCTTGACCATCATGGGTATTGATGGCGAGATCACTCCTGACGTGATGTCCAAGCTTGGCGCACTTTCGGTAAGAATCGCTTGCTGATTTTGTTGAATGTGTGGGTAGCCTTCATTCCCCGTGGTCGTGCGCCCGAGCAAACACGCTTTTGGTCCTTGAGCAAAGCTGTAAGCTTGCGAAGATGTGGGCACTGATGGATAATTCAGAGCGGTACCTGCTTGGCACGTGCAGCACTTGACCGAGCTTGCTCGCAAACAACATTTTCTCATTGGCAGTGGAACCTGGCGGTCTGTCACTGATTCCCTATCTTCACCTCCCTCGCGTCGGCGGTGCTGTTCCATTCGTCTTTTACCCATACTCAGGCTGTCCGGGAGGTGTCGGTTGCCAACCTCTCCGCGTAGTCGGCATGTTCGCAGGACTCGGAGCAGACGTCGTTTAGGTGGCTAAAAGGCTATTTTGTTGTGTCGATAGGTTCTGCGGAACACTTGTTGCTGGTACATAGGGAAGAAGTTTGGAGCGAGTGGTTAGTAGTGAAAAGAGTAAACATTGCATGTTGTGGTTGTCCAACTCGTGGCGTGGGCAGCGCATCGCGCAAGCGCTTCTGGAAGATGTCAAGAGTGAGTATTGATGGAGGCTAGCCTTGTTGCCGCAAGTTCAGGGAGATTATTCCCGTTTTTTTTAGGGGAACTCCACATTGCCCCCCCTGTTTGATTCGAGTCTTGTTGGTTTCAAGGCACGAAGAGGGCTTCTTGGGGAGCGGGAACCCCGGCTGGCGGCGAGTCGATCCATAGAAGTTCCAAAAGTTGGAACTTTTGGTTGGTCCCTTACCATTGCTTCCACCAAAAACCAGACATATCACCGCGATGTCAATGTGTAAAAAGAGGGAATCGTCCGCGCCAGACGTTGGGAAACGAAAACTGGTCTATACACACTCGTTTGAGAGCAATATTGCAGGACGCACACACCCGTTTGGACCAACGCACCAACCTCGGAGTTTAACCCTTTTGGGTCTACAGGCGTCCTGACATATCATTGATTGATCATTTGTACATGCTGTTGTGACATGCCATGGAGTTGCCGTCCTGTATCCCTCCACGCCAGGTGTTGGCAAGTCAAAATAGGTAGGTGTGTCTATATTATTCGCATCGACCGCGTACACGGTGACCAATGAAAAGACGTTTAGTGCCAGCGGGTATATCAAGGTCCCTGGAACGGCCCAAATTCGAAAAATGCACACTGCTCTAAATGAGAATGCCACCATGAATCTCTCCCCAGTATCCTTTCACAGAGACACACATCAATAACTCCACATACATACATGCCTTCGCCCGAATCTAGCAAGCAACGCAAAGATAGGAGGACAGCAAGAAGGAGCACTTCAAGCCCAACAAGGCCAGGATATCGTGGTATGCTGCATATCCTCCAAATTTTGAAAATCGTATACTCCCAAGATCCAGCAGTCATCATGTCAGCAGCTATACTACACAGCAGCAGCAGTATGTACAAGAGTCCAACATACAGCAGTACTGTAGTAACACATACACTATCATCATAGCCCCACACATACCCTCGCCCGAACCTAGAGAGCCACTGATGCAAAGGTAGGTGTGTGCTGGTGTGCTTGCGTGCTTGTGGGAATTGTGGGAAAATCACAGGAGCTGTAGTGAGCCGGCAGACCTCACATCGGGGGGGGGGCAGAGAAGTACAGAAGTACAAGAACCAGCTATCGGTCTACAAGCCCTCTCACTGATCATTTGAATATATTGAAAATAGAGTAGTTTGGGTGGCTTGACGACTGATCTTGCCGAGGTCTACAAGCCTAACCTGCCCTACCGGCCGCACCGCGACCACGCATCAACCCTTCTATGACCCTGTCTGTGCCCACCGTCCTGTCGCGGGCAGCCCTCATGGCCTATGGGTGGAGATAGCTGTAGCGTCTACAGAAGTGCACTCGTCTCTTTCTGCTGTACTTCTGTCTCTCTCCCCGCACTCTTTCCTCCTTTTTTTTTTTGCCGAAAAAAAGAAGAGCTAGACCCGAAGGGTTAATGGCAAAAAACCATTGCGGCCCATGGCATAAAAGGTTGCAAAACGTTGTCCCAGAGATTTGTGCGTACGCAAAAATTCATCTCGCTACTTGTGCTCTCTGCTCACACAAGATTGGAATGGAACACAATCCGTCATTTTGTGAAGGTGTCACGTGATGTGACCATTGTCGCGCATACAAAAGTCGCAAGATACGATCTGGGCGGAATACCTTGTTGATGGTTGAACAGCAGGAAATTCGACTATGGATACGACCCTTTTTTCTTTCAGCGACACCTGCGGCGGTGTGAATGGGACGCCTTCGGTCCTCCCTTCCCTCTCCCCTCCGGTTGCACTCTCGTCTGGGACCTTCCTTGCCAAATCTCAAGAAAGTGAACTGCCAGCCCTCCTGTAGTAGGTGTAGAGACTACCGCCACGTGGGTCTCTTCAACCGAGGGTAGCCTGTGTACTCAAATTGAAAACTATACATACAGGAAAGGAAGAACTAAAACTTCCCCCGCTCCGAATTAAAACTCGAACGTTCTCAAAGCATCGTGTGCTGGTTGTTGCTTTCGACGATGGTAAAAGCGGTGTCATCCCCAGCTGAAGGAACAGTCCCCGTTTCTGCCACCATCTCCAGCTGCGAAGTAAGCAATGCAGACAATGGGTGCCACGGACATCATACGGCAGGGTCATGTTTTTCATATCATCCGTTTGGGAAGACGGCATGCGCGGAAATCCTCACCGGAGTTGTTCCGCCCCAATGACATGTAGGCGTTGGGTACTGGTTTTCACCCATTCCGCCTTTTTGTTTACGGGGAAGAGTCCCGTGTCTGCCTCTCTGCTGCTGCCGCCGACTCTCCCGCTACATAATTTTTTCGTATACCCCCCCCCCCTTCCCCGGGTGGTTCTTGTGATTATTCCCGCGTGCGAAACGTCTGTGCAAACTCTAGCTATGCAGAGTTTGAAACAAATCACCAAACTCAACACGAGACATCGTCTACATTCGATGTCCGATCTTCCAACTCACGTTGTCATTGGTGTTGATGTCCCCGTAGATGGATCCCGCCGGAGTGTAGCAAAACGCCAGAAGGAGGACGTAAATGTTGAACATCCCGTAAAAGTAAGCGAACACCTTAGATCCGTGCTGAAGACGCGGGAACAAAACACCGAAAATAGAGAGTTGGTTGGCGGTATCGTCATATACTTGATATAGAAACTTCGACCGACCTCAACCGCGCACTGGGATTCACTTTTGAACGAAAATGCCAAGCACTCATTGACATTACATGGTTTTCCAGCGTCTGCCCAACCATCACCTGGTCCGGTGCGAGGGCTCCAGTGTATACAGCTGACATGGTGCCGACGATGGTAACCAGGGTGATGACCATGATGAAAATGTATTCTGAGTTCATTGACTCGATGTGGGTGAAGCTCCTGAAGACGAGGCTTCCCAGCCACAAGAAGTACAGTGTGGCAAGCAGTAGTCCAACCACCTTCATTTTTCCGTCCAAGTGGGGAAAGGGGTGCAGTTAGAGTACTACCAAGACACCTCCGTGATGCTGAATGCGACGGCTGTGCTGCAAGTTGTAACTCTTGACATTGTTCGCTAAATACATGCGAAACGAGGCGTGGCGGTAAATAGGCTGTTGGACAGCAATGGAGAGAACGTTGGGTTTTGGGACATGTATATCGCACGCCACGGACACGTAAAATGAAAATTGGGCATGTGTGAGTTGTTTGACTTGTGTCGACATGTCTCTCCGTCATGCTGCCCAACTTCCGATGAACGCCTCGTTGTCGGAGTGAGGCTCAACCATATTGACGCAGGCGAGTTGTAGCCTTACACAATATCTCACCTTGACACCCGTGTAGGTGGAAAGGTCGTCGAAGGTGCTGTAGGACGGGTCCCCCGTTTGCTGCACTCGCACGTAGCTGAAGGGACAGATTTGTTTGTGCTAATTGATCAGTAGCGAACAGGATTGGGTTTTGACTTTGCGCATGAAGTGATCGGACGGCGTAGGAAACAACAACGTTCATGTGCACACCGCAATCAATCAAGACTTAAGAAGCCAGTCTCCCAATGGCACATCGAGCTAACCATGCCAAACAACTTACATGTAAGTCAGCACCGTAACGATCCAGATGAGACCAACCAGAACCAACTTCGGCAGGTACTCCAGTACAGTCTTCTTACGGTTGCGTTCCCATTCCAGAGCCGTGTCGGTCCCCTTTTATACGAAGGAGAGTCAGGTGTGGGCAATATCGGGACATAGGCGCGGGGCGGGGGAGGGGGGGGGGGGTATGAGGGCTTGCTTATTCGTGCTGCCCACGGTTAGAGAGGACAATAAAAAGCATGATGGACTTGGCACCAAATCACGTAACCACACCAAGAGCTGGTAACCCCAAGAACGAAACATGTAACGGATTCCAAATGCACATCACCTGCATGTTCCCTGCAGCAAGGTCTCCGAACAGCTCGAGCCAGAAGAACAGCATGAGGGCCAGGAATGTCGCCACAAAAACAATGTACAAACTGAGACAACACACGACAACCGGACGCGGCGCGTGGAGAGCATGACTCTTTTCGTTCAAAATAGCTCGTTTCTATTGCCGAAACTGCGACGATAAAACGCCAACAATCAACATTCCGAACATCATGACATATGAGAGCACACGAGGAGGTATCAAAAGCATTACCTGAAGAAGAAGCGAGGGAAAGGAGAAAATATTTGGAATCCAAAGAAGACGTTGTTAAAGAACAGGAGCGATAGCAGCAGCACCCCCACGCGCGCCTGTCCAACCAAACAAACCACGCGAAAAGGTGTAGACGCAGCGGCAGAAAGTACGAGGAAAGGCGAAGATTAGGCATCGAAGTGGTGATCGCTGGTCGCCCTTGGTGGTCGGATAGTGGGTAACCCAAAACCTGCTACAGGCTAAGAGAAATCAAGAGCAGATAGATAGCCACTTGAAAGGCACACCAAAAACATCAAGCTAAGTTTTGTGATCGCTTCATTCCTGTAGCGATGTGATTTTCAAGTGGCGTTACCGGAGCTGGAATAGACACTTCCTCAGATCTCTAGTTGACATGGAATAACTCCGACTCACCTGTTGTCTAGACCAGAAGTTCTGGTGCAGCTGCATCATCTCGTAGAAGAAGCCAATCTTGGGTACAAACATGAACACCAGCGTGATCACAATCCAGCCGTAGTGCCAATACATCTGATACGTCGTGAACTCCTTCGTGATGTACACGATCTCAAAGTCCAGGGTGAATTCTGGTGCATTCGAGAAAAGTTGGGGCTCCTGCATATCCACCTGCAGCGAGATTTTTTTTTGTCAGGTTGGAGCGACTCAAAGAGCGCTGCGACAGGATGCAACCCGAATCTACTGCCGTTTTGTGTTCCTATCGAAGACGGGCGCTGTGAACAAGTCACCAAATTTCGAAATGCGGGAAGGAACGACGCGCCGCATGTCTGACCGGGCTCGACTCAAAGGAAGTAGAGGCCCATCAGAACACAACAGCAGGATAGATGTGGCACAAAACACCGCTTCTCCACAATCCCGGATATCGTAGAACGTCCACAGCATGTGGTGACTCCGGTCAGTGCAGACCTACCTGCATGTAGTACGTCCCAAACTCGACGAACTCTTCCGTGAGGAGCGTGGTCCATCCGCACCACCTGGTGTGTCACCGTGGTTGAATGAACAGGCAAAACACTCGATGAAGAAGGAAATAAGAGTACGGCACCAAAAAACGCATTTTCCTCATTATCGCACACTCAGTGCTCCCGGTTCTCTCTATTTGGCACATTTCCACCAGTAGTCCAACATTCGCGTATAATAAAAGAACGGCCCGGTACAGCACTCGAGATACTCCGCACATGTCTAGTGCAAAAGGCGTATCTGTTCTACCCACAAATCCAAACGTGATCAGTGTAGTGTACATGGTGAATCGACTAGAGCAGCACCCACACCTTTATTAAGAGACAAAACCGCACAACACATAATACTGTCATCTGTCCTAAATCAGCTACAAACCACACCAACGAGAGAAACATACGACATGTTAGAGCCGAACCAACAGCCGCGGTACACCTAGCTGCAGGTTGACACTCACTGCTCGTTGGAAGGACACTGAATCACGCGATCTGTGACGATCCCCTGGGCTAGCTCCACACACTGGCCACCCACGTTACACTCGGATGTGCACCCGTCCGGACACGCGATATCATCTACAGGTTCCTCTGATGCCCACGACGATACTGAGTACCGCTGTTCGTATGACACCGCTCCCGAAATCATGTCGGGCTTGTTCAGACGCATGTGCAAGTAAAGAACCTGCGCGTGGTGCGGGTTGGGGGGTGTAACGTGGTAAAAATATTGTTTCTTGCGGTGTGGGTCGCTGGAATCTTCAAGTCTGAACAAGCGTACAAATGTGCGTGTGCAACTAACTCGTCGAAACGAGGAGAGGAAACATCGTAAAATCCGTGCTGGGAGAATGCGTTGTGGCGGGAGATGCTGAATAAAAAATAATACACCCTTGGCAAATCAAACAATCCATCATTTCTAGGAAGTATACATAAGTATACATAATCTCACAGAAAGACTATACGTTCGAGAAAATACTACAACACAGCAGTCGAGGGATGTGTTCCAAGTCTTCACAGTGAGTGGGAAGAAAACCGGCTGAATACCGGGCATATTTAGGGTCTATTTAAGCCTACACGGACTTTTTTTATCAGTGATGCCAGCAGGTGCCAATCACAAAAACACTGACTGTACAGGTACTAATATATCACGAAAACCTCTCCCCCGTACAATAGTATATTCTTCGAAGGGGTCCAACGACCTAAACATCGGGGAAAAACCCTCCGTCATGCTACCATGTGTCTTGTCGTATGTTTATGACATTCTGCCTTGATCACAGGAACACGTCGCAGTGTCTCTTCACAACTTGCTGTATCTATATTTGTTGCTGCTGTTGGTCTACAGTTGCGGCAACTTTAGTCCATCATTTCTGTCTCAAGCGCTATTTAGTAGAATCAGTGCATTTGATTAGCAATCAGACCCATGCTACCTTACGAGGGGAGTATCGTATGCATACATACCAAAATTTACATGCACGGCAAGCCACGTCTCTAATGAATGGCCATTTATAGAATACATGAAAAAAAAAAACGCTTCCTCATTTTTTGCACGTCACCGCTAAACGTTGCTTGGCCCACCTGATGCCATCGCTCCATCCCGTCAATCTTCCCGTACCAGGTCACATTGAGAGAGTTTGTCTCGACGGCGGCAGGAGGTGACTTTTCAAATACGTTTGGGCCTTTGATGGTGCCCACGATTAGACAGGCCAAGAGGCCGATCACATAGACCGCACTCAAAATTCCTGATTTCACGAAACACGGAAGGTAGGGTGAGCAGTGCATGCCATGGGCGAAGGGAAGCTTGGTCTACCTCAATTTTGCTGCGCAATTCCTAGCCGTCTATTGTATGCAGCCGCAGTCTCGCAGTCCTTCAAAAGTCGATGCACACCGCTCATTTGCAGAGCTTGCTGAGGATGAAATTTTGTTTGGATGACAGCAGTTGTTCCGTAACAAGGCGCATGGGGGTTGGACAATCTTCCTCCAGAACTAAGGCTCTTTTCCTTGAGAGTTTGCAACTAGATCATGGTGAGGGCTACATCGCGCACACATCCACATACCAATGCCGAATCTGGTGCTGTAGGGAGCTGACTCCAGCCGGACCTTGGCATAGCTCGCGTTCTCCATGACCAGCACACTTTGTTCTTACCCAGCACACGCGTGGTCGTGCGTGGAGATCTACCGCACTGGCACACCCGATGAGGTAGGTGTCAAGCTAAATGTTGAGGACTGTTTCTCTCCAGCCTTCTCGTACGCTTCCCCTACTCGCTGCTCGTCCCGTGGTAACGGTTGTGTGCCTGTGTTGGCTTTGTTGCTAAGCTGGGGCAATCTCTCCGACCGTAGGAAGATGTTTGGATGTTTGGATGTTCCGCGCCAAGAGCGCAGAAAGCAAAAAACAAAAACAAGCACACGAATCCGGAGTAATTAATGATGGAACTCCCGAATGAAACGGCTGATTTTCCTTCACGAATTCGACTCAGCATCCAGCAGGCACTAACACACGGCGTCCATCATCACCACCACTCCCCAATACGCGCAAACTCTGCTTGTATCTCACAGCGATGCCTAGTGGCTCCCGTCTCCCCGCTATGATCACATGCTGCACGAACCGCATGCGAGGTGTTTGTACCTGTGCACGTCAGCTTTTCTGAACTTGAACTGACGCCTACTACGCAGTGTAGCAAGCAAATCTGTGCACACACCCACACAGGACAATATAGCAGAACCGAGCCTATCGATAGACGGCGGCGCGTGTGTGCTATCCATTCATTGCGTCTTGCAATACCTACAGCACGTTCGATTTGCAATTTCTGCGAAGAAGTTCATTGTGGCCAGCAATTCGTGTCGGTGGATGGGCACACAGCGGCGCAATCTATTTCGACCACCAATTTGACAATAATAATGTCTATCGGTCAATATAAACAGGTATTCTGCAGAGTCTCAGGTGGCCAGCAGTAATGTCGTCTTCGATACTGTGCCGACCTGTTCATGAGAAGCACACATTTTGAGCGAGGCTCAAACCTTGTTTTGTCCACCACTAACTGAGCAACGGCTTCTTCTATATACCCACCCGTAGGTTGCATAAGATACCACACCCCGTGGAACGATTTCAAAGCTTCATTTAATTTGTAATTACTCCACGACGAAGAGGATGCTGACAACAAAGGATAGGTTGTGGGAAACCTCTCGATGAGACGGTTCCAACGCCGCCATTTCCGGCACCGCCACTGTTTTTCCTGCCGAGTATTCAAGCCTTTGAAAATCGGACCAGGGAGTGGGTGTGATGTCTTACGCGACCGACGGTACGGAAATAAGTGGGGAAGAAATAAATTCATTACACCGCTTTTTATGGCAGCACGATGTTGCAAGAAATGCTGCAAAGTTTTCCTGCAGCTTTTCTTCCAAACTTTGTCAATGGAACTTTTGATGCACGCTCTTTATGGGACGAAGAAAGTTTTTTGCACGGGACTGGCGGAATGCGGAGGCGTGACCCTTTTTTTTTGTGCAACGGAGAGGAAGGCACGCGCCTTTCATATATTGCACCGCGAAAGAACCGGTCAAAGCGTGCGGGAGAGGGTAGTTGCAACCTTTTTTCTCCACACTCACGATACCCCAAGGCATCTAACGTGGTACCAGAAAGATGCTGGATAGATCTAGCTCCCTCGGGGTGGAATTGCTGTTGTTGCTGTTGCCTTCTCCTTCGAAACGTTTCGCTGGAAAACCAAACCATTCACACACAATCCCTGCGAACTTGAACCAACTGCTCTCTGACGTGGGTACTTTGGGGTCGATCACTTTTTTCCCGATGCGCACGATACCCCACGGCACCAAACCTTGGGCATGAAAGATGGAGCCGAGAGCTACCTCCCACCGAGCGGCCATGCTATTGCTGTTGCTTCCTCCTTCGGAAAGGCATCGGTGGATAACCAAACCCGTGGCGGTCAAAAACATCGAGCTTGAACTAACCGCTCGCGGCCGTTGACGGCTGTGCACAGCACAAACTTTTTTTCCCGGCGCATTCGGCACCTCACGGCCCCAAACCTTGGCATTGCCCTAAACAGCCCATGGCATCACCTCCTTCCAGATACCATTCATGAGGCAACTCGTTAAGTATTCGTCGAGATATCGGTGATCACAGCCTTCCCAAAATCGATGCTGGAGAGGGTCTACGTGTGCGGTAGGGGTAGCAGCTTGACGTGAACCCGGTATAGTTTCCGCCGTGCAGCTTTTCCCGCCCCTTAACCCGACTCGAGAAAAGCTGCAAAACGTTTCGGCCAGAGCGCAGCTTTTCGTTCCGGAAAAAAAGTTGCAGAACTTTTCGTGCAACTTTTAGCTCCCATACTGAGCGTACATTTAATTTGCAAAGATGCAAGAAAAGTTGCAGAAATGCAGCTTTTTTTGCAGCATTCATTGTGCTGCCATAAAAAACAGTGTTACTTGGCGCCTTTTTCGTCCAAAATCTGAGCCTCGGTATATATATTACGAACATATTTCTTACGAGCAGGCCGGCACTGTAGACAATCTGGCACATCCCCTTTGCCGCCAAAATGCCAATGTGTGTGTGTTTTCGTCCCACCTATTCTGGCGCCGGTTTACAGGGGGGGTCTTTCGGCATATAATATACCGTACGTATCATCACCCGGGGGGTCGCACGACAAGAGGAAGTTCACGCAACAACAAGTTTCTCATTTTATGGTGATATTTTATGGTGTTGTTTTATTGCCCCACCTTCCCCCAGGCGCGGCGCCTGCCCCTCTTTGTTTTTCTCACCAAAAGGATTCAGTCATCCATTTCCCTTGTCGACCGTGCAGCCGAAGTAGAATGTTTACGTACGACCGACCGAGGTCGCTCTCCATACATCACGTAGTAGGTTGCTGGAAATAAACCCCAGGAACAAAAACTTCCGGAAAGAGAATCAAACCCACAAATCGAACCAACAAAGAGTTGTTGTGCAGATTTGACCACTGTTACATAAAGGGCAGGTTTTAACCACTTTGGTGCTCCCACCGTTTACACCCACACCAATAGTTAGGACAGGAAGATCTCCACAGAAGAAGTCGCCGTTTGATTGGGTGAAATGATGACAAGACCAACTTTTTTTTTTATCTTCCTGAAGATCCAGCGAGAAGCAATACTATGAGTCAGAACACCCGGACTAACTTTTGAAAAAAATTAAAAACCATTTTTTTTAAAACAACAAGGGTGCAAAAAAAAGTCTTCCCGCACACCTACCCGACCCCCCCCCCCCCCCGGGAGGGGGACGATTTTTTTTTTGTTTTTTCGCGTATAGACTAAATAGACTCGAAATAAGTCCAGCACCCAACCGATTTTCCTCCACTCACTGAAAATACTCCATTCCACCACATCCCGTTCGACTGTGGGTATATCTTGGATGACTAGTCTTTCTGTGTGTGTGTGTATATATTTTTGCCTTATTTTTTGTAGAGGCTTTGTTGGCTTTCTCCCTCTCCATTGCGTGTTCCTGCTGCGTTTGCTGGTGTTTACGGCACGCAGAAGAAGTAGTGCACAAGGACCTTGTAAACAGGTAGTTGTAGGAGCTCCTTTGCTGACGTTGCTTCCTACTTGTCGTTGGAATCACTTCAAGGTCTTGCCTGCCCGGGTGCAAAGCTGCCAGCCCTTCCATGACAATTCCATGAAGGGCTGAATGACCTCGAAAGAAACACTGAGTGCCGAAACAAGACCTCTCTCATCCTAGGAGGAAGAGAAACGTTTAACCAGGACAACGACAGTCACATCTTTCCCAGCCGTTGGGGCACAATGTCAGCTTCCTCTATGATGATTAGGTGATGCACTTATCCCCCCAGATATTGAACCGGAGGTGCTACAATACTGTAGTCTCTTAGAGTCATTGGTGCATGACGCAAACACATCAGAGTTGAGATGATGTCCAAAGGTCGCAACTAGACGCCTTTCGCAACTAGACGCCTTTCCCCCCCAGCGAGCCAAACCAACTTGAGTTGATCGCTGCCTCCAGATGTACAGTTGCGAAAAGGATCGATTCTGTGTGTATTTTTGGGAGACAACCTGACTCAAATGTTGACAACATAAAGAGACACGAAATAAGTTCGTAACTGTTGCCTATTCGTAGGGATGCGGAGTAGAATTCATACGTGTACATGGATAGAACAGTGCCACAATATTCCATCATTGTCTGCGATGAATCTCCATTTACTGTTCCTTTAGGTGACAACTGTAGTATTTGTGCCCGCATGTCTACATCCGCCTCCAACTCACACATGTTCACCTCTCACCCTATTGTACTCTTCTTGCTCTCGGTTTCTCCTACTCACAGTCAAGAGTGTAAATCTGGGCCGGTACATCACATGGTACAAACCACCGATCCGAGTTCCAGGTTAATTGTGTAAACCAGCGCGTTATCTGCGCCCACATCTCAATCAAGTCCCTTCGTCGATACCCTACAGCACGCTGATACTTGGATCCACTTTCAGTGCTTGATGGTCCCACATGTAGTGTAACGGTAGTTGGGTGCACCGTCTATACTGGGGATTCGGCGAAACGTGGTTTCTTCAGTTGTCAGGTGTGCGTTATTGCTCCAGTGAATATGCGGTTGGTTGCGTTCTAGCAAAGTCCACACCGTTACTATCTATCACACTTACCCGGTCCAACTTCTGGTCTGATCCCCCGTAAAATACCTACCTCCCACAGTGAGGAAGGTAGTGCTCAGAGTCTGTGTGCGATGGGTTGATTGTATCGTACACGGACTATTGCTCATGGTCATACTTTCATTAACTTGATGCAGAATCACAATATTCAAGAAGGGACGCAGGATGTAGTGGACCCGAAGGAGAGAACTACCAATTTAGAGTTTACCTCATCTCTCCCCCAACACACACAAACACAGGCAAATAGCATGCGCACACTGAGGTGCAAACTATTCCCGCAAAGAAAACATGACAATCCACTGTAGGTGGAACATTTCGATTTGTTCGCAAAAGTTTTGATCGGAGATAGCGCACACGTCCATGAGGATGCCAGGACAGTAGTGGTGTCATCACACAGCAGTAAGGAGAGTATACTGCATAGTTGGGGAAGGGGTTAGATGGACCATACCAGTGTTGAGTGGTTGAGCGTACGTAGGGTACTGG